ATCATTATAAGTGGTCTTTAATTATTATCTGGTTGTTACTCATCCAGATGTATAGTGTGATGTCAGTCGGTGTCTCAAATTATGCACAATCCGACTGGCCAAAATTGTCATACTTTGCAGTGCATTCTCTTATATTTAAAAGGTAAAATTCAACTTGATCTTCTTTTTCAAAATGGGGGACTTGATCCCTCTCTTTATTATGATTCTGATTGGGCCAGTGACAAAGATGATTGAAAAACTACTTTAAGCGACATAATCATTCTTGGCTCCAATATCATCTTTTGGTGTACAAAAGAGCAAACTCATGCCTCTAGATCCTCCACTAAGGCTGAATATCGTTCCATGGTTGTGGGAGTTGTAAAATCTATGTGGCTATGGTACATTACTGATGCTCTATGCTTTCCTCCATCAAAACCCTATCTCCACTACGATAATGAATCCACTATCTATGTGACCAAGAATCCCATTCTGTATGATTGTATAAAGTGGATATGTTTTGACTTTCACTTTGTGCGAGATGAAATCATGACAAGAACAATGACTTTTTATCATGTACCTTCTCCCAAGCAATTGGCATAAATTTTTGCAAAACGCTTCCGCTAGCTCATCCATTCCACTACTTGTGCTCCAAGCTGCCCCTCGTAACCGTTGATCAGTTTGCAGGGGATAATTAGAAGCAAATAATATTATTTAATAGTCACTTTCCTTCATGTGTTGTTTCTATAATTGTTATTTTACTATGATTAAAATGATTCTTGTACTCTCTATATATACTTGTAACACCCTACCCTGGATGACCTGAGTCATCCAAACCAGAGTGCTAGTAAAACCCCGTTGCTTTGTAAAAATATTATTTATCAGGAATATATATATATATATATATACATACATACATACATACATACATACATACATACATACATACATACATACATACATACATACATACATACATACATACATACATACATACATACATACATACATACATACATATATATATATATATATATATATATATATATTCTCTTTTTGATAACTAAAACGTTTTTTGCATAAGCTTAAAGTAAAAACATCCACAATTAATACAACCTTGGGTTCAAGCCCAAAAACAATGTAAGTTAAGTTCGACGTTTTATTCATTATTAAATATTAAATAAGAACTCCTTTAGCACGGTCTCCACGTCCAAACTTTCCTCCTCAGCAGTTTTTTTCTGTGCTAGTACTTGCGTGCAGTTAAACACTACACGCTCAGCATAAGCTGAGTGACAAATAATCAGTAGACATATATAATATGTAAATATATTTTGGGCCTTTTAAGTTATTTAATTCATTTCAAAAAAAAAATTTCGCATAATTAAAAATCATCGATGGAAATAATCTCACCTTGAATTGTTACTTGAGGACATTTAGAAAACTTTTGACTTACTAGGTTAACCACATATTAGGAACTAAGCCGTGACTAGGCTCGAACACCGCACTAGTCGATTCGTAGTTTTACTTCGGATACCTCCCCGTGACCTCGGGTCCAGTAATCAGAAGTGAACCCTAGACCCACGGGGTCATCGTCGGGTTCTCGTGCGCATGTTGTGGTATGATTATTTATAGGCTCATCCACATGGACACGGTCCGGCCTTGAAAGTGGTTTGACCCACTTGATAAAAACGTGACAGTACTTGGTCAGAGTACGTCGATATATAAATCTTGAAACTTTTACTTCGTCCACTAAATATTTGGTTAACCCTAGTACGGTCATTTATATAAACCACATTTGATGTCTTCAAACATAAGTTATTTCATAATTAGATACCGGTTGATGTCCCCTTTGTATACAAAACATGCCTTTGGTGCAAGAAAAATAAAACATGTGTTTTTTTGTTAAGAGGAACAAATTTACACATTAAACTTTCTTAGTCCAATATATATCAAACCTACGTGACATCATAGAAAATTTCATTTATTTCCCATTTTATTATCAGATATTTTATTATTGTCCCTAACTCAAACTTGATTTTGTGTTTATTCCCTTTCTAGTTAGAATTTGGCCATGCATGTCAGTGACGAAAAAAAACTCCTTAGCATATTTAAATTATCAAGGCCTGGTCAGTACAAATCATAGTTTTGAAAACCGGACCGGCGATCGAACCGGCCGGGGCACTGGTTCACTGGTTGAACCAGTGGTTCGAGTGGTCGAACCGGCGGTTCGAACATTTTTTTAAAACACTATATTTACACATATTTCTTACTACAAATCAAACTATTATGTTCCTACAATACCAAATTCTTGAATATAGTTTCCAAAAAAGTAAGTTTAAGAGTGTTACATGTCAAAATAAGGTACAATATGAATTGTCAAAGGGTGTTTGAATTATAAAAAATGATCAATGGGAGTTTAAAAAATCAAAGAGCAGCAAAAGGGCTAGTCAAATAGAAACTGTTAGTTAAAAAAAAAACCATGAATGTAAATATCAAAAAAGAGCAGAGCTTAGCTAAACCCATTCTCAACAGTTACTTAACTTTCAATTACTAATGCCAATCTCATACTAGTAAAAAAAATTGGAGTAGTCATTATCCTTAAAAAATTGTAGTCATTTTCTACTAAAAGTATACTTTATCACTCAAAGTCACTTTAGGCTAAGTATTGAAAATTAGAGACCATCCTCTTCAAGCCAATTCGTAGAAAACAAGTGGAAAACTAATAGTATAAAATTCATAGCCATTCATCAATCTCTCTTCCTCTGCATATACATATAGAACATCAATCTGTTAAGTGGCACCTACCAATCCTAATCTCAATTTAAAACTAGTAAAATAAACTACTCCAAGCCGCCACTATAAATAATTAAATATGATACTATTAAAAATTAAATACTAATACCTGTGCGGAGATGGAGCCTTATGCATCGGAGATGGAGAGGAAGATGACCGGAGATGGAGAAGAAGATGACCGGAGATGGAGAGAGGATCGAAAATCAAAAGTGGTGGAGAAGAAGAACCGACAAAAAGGGTTCTGTACTTTTGTCGGCCCATACTCTGTGTTCCGTGTTAGTTCCGTCACTTTGCTTTTAGATTTTAGAATTTTTAT